GGGCTCCTTCTGGGACGTTCTGTAGTCTTCGCTTTGAGTTTTTTTGTAGAGATCGCGTAGATGCTTCTCTCTGCGTCTGGTGGCTTGAGGAGTGTTATAGAAACCTTCCTCATAGTGTATATTTCGATTTATAGGATCCATATCTTCTGAAATGGAAACAAAATAACCGAAAAATGGAAAATTGCAGAAAAGGGGGTTCTAGCGTCGATTTACTAACCTTTCTCGGGGTTTTGCAGAAAAGAAAACGCGTGCCTTCCCCGGCAACGGCGCCAAAACCTTGATGGTGGTGACTTGATGTGGTTGTCGAGGGTTGTCAAGTTTCACCCTAAATGAATTCAATAGCCGCAAGTGCACAGCTGATCGATTGTAGTACTTAGGGATCGAATCCACAGGGAAGGAGGATCTTTTCCTGCAAAAAGCCTTTGAAATAAGTATTAAGTAAGGAATTCTAGAACCAAAACGGTTTTGTGGGGGTTTGGTAGTGTGTTTAAAATGTAAAACGAAATATTAAAAGAGAATACGGGAATTAAATGACGTAATAACTAAACTTAACGAAAATGACTAAAAATGTAAAAACTGGATATCTAATTGCTTAAATGAAAATGAACTAAAAAGGAAAGACAATATTGAACTAAAGCTGAAAGAAAAATCGGTATAAATAAATGGGAAAGAAGGCATTGGGCTTCAGGGAAGTTTTCTCAGGGGTACGAACGATTCAAAACATTGCTATAGAGTAAAATTGATAAGATCTTAGCTTTAGCTTTTCGAACTGGAGTCACGGACGTATGAATACGCCACTGTCGTGATCATATACAACTATCTCTCTCAACCCTGACCAGTAGGTTTCCACTCTGGCCCTGGAAGAGAAGAGATGCATTATGTTTAAGACTCGTCCTAATTCACAAATCGCCCATAGGTAGGTTTCCACTCCTATGTTTGTTTTGCTCTCCCAAACTAGATCTGATACCTGATGAACACTTTCGTGTCACCAAGCATCTGGATCAGATTGTAGTTCATGACGCTACTCTCATGCAGTAAAAACGAATTCAGAAGAAAAAGTTCTAAGATTCGGCTCAAAAGCTCATGGAATCCTCATCGAACATATAAATCCCCATCGAAAATCCCTTAATCCCAACAATAAAACTACTCAGACATGATGAACGAAATCAAAAACATAGTATTAATAAGTAGAATAGAAACCGAAATTGAAAAAGAAAGAACAAGGGTTCAAGAGAACAAATCTCTCTCTCCCTAAAAGCTAAAGCAAAAACAATAAAAGTATGAAGTAATGATAGATGGTATTCGGTTCTTTTTTATTTAGGGTTCCTAAGACATGTATTTATAGTGCTCAAGACCTCTCTGGACGTCACTTAGGGTTTCTCCAAATGAAGGAATCATTGTGGGCTTCAGAAATGAGCTTTTGGGCTCAGAGGTTGCTGGCCGCGGTCGGGAGTGCTCTGACCCTGGGGAATGAGTGGTTTTCCGCGGTCGGGATGCTCCTGACCGCGGGAAATTGCTTGTTGGCCGCGGGTGGAAGTGCTTGCCGGCTGGTTTACGGGACATCTTGCTCTTCGCGTATCTTTTGATCGAACCGTTGGATTGCCAAGCTGTAAAGTGCACTGGAAAGCTGATACTTCCATCTTTAAGGTCTCCAAATTTGAGCTTGATCGGACGGTGAGAAGGCCTTCAATCAGGGGTGAACTTCTGACGGTTTGACTGTGAGCTGAAATCTGGTTTTCTATCCATTTTGTTAAGCTTTTCCCTAAGTTTCATGAAAAGAGTCTTGAAACTACAAATACTAGAAAAATGTGATAAAAGTACTTAAAAGCAATTAAAAACATAGAAAAAGTATTTCAAAACGATCCATAAAAGTGGTCAAAATACGGTGTTATCATAAAGAATCATCTAGAGGGATATCTGAGTCCACTCTTAACCGTGAAAGATGATCGGCTGCTCCATTTTCAATGCCTTTCTTGTCTTATCTTAGAAAAGTCTTTGATAAACCTTCTATAGAAGCCGGCGTGCCCTAAGAAACTCCTTATTCCTTTGACCGAGTTTGGAGGCTCCAAGTTCACCATCACCTCCACTTTGGCCTTATCAACTTCAATCCCTGCCTCAGAAACCTTATGCCCAAGCACAATGCCCTCTTGCACCATAAAATGGCACTTTTCCCAGTTTAAAACCAAGATGTTCTCCTCACACCTTCTTAGGACTTGAGAAATATTAGAAAGACAAACAGAGAAGGAGGATCCATAGACTAAAAATTCGTCCATGGACACCTCTACTTTCTCTTCAATTAGATCCGAAAAGATGCTCATCATGCAACGTTGGAATGTGGCAGGTGCGTTGCACAGTCCAAATGGCATGTGCCTATATGCAAAGGTCCCATAGAGACAGGTAAATGTAGTCTTCTCTTGGTCTCTTGGATCTATAGGTATTTGAAAGAATCCAGAGTAACCGTCTAGAAAACAAAAGAATGGATGGTATGCGAGCCTCTCTAGCATCTGGTCAATAAAAAGTAAAGGAAATGGTCCTTCCTAGAGACTGCCTTCCGCTTTCGATAGTCTATACACATTCTGTGACCTGTGATAGTCCGTGTAGCTATCAACTTATCCCTCTCATTTTTTATCACTGTCATTCCTCCCTTTTTGGGAACCATATGAACTAGTGAAACCCATATAGAGTCTGAGATAGGATAGATGATCCCAGCCTCTAGGAGTTAAGAATCTCTTTTTTCACTACCTCTTTCAAGTTGGGATTGAGCTTCCTTTGGTGCTCAATGGATGACATAGATTCATCCTCAAGGTGAATTATATGAGTTTATAGGTTGGGTGAGATACCCTTTATGTCATCCAAAGAGTAACCAATTTCTCTCCTATGTTTCATCAACTCGTTTAACAATGCATGCTCTTGATCCTCTAGCAACTTATCGTTAATGATAAGAGGGTATGAAGAGTTAGAGCCAAGTAAAGCATACCTCAGCCCAGTTGGTAGAGGTTTTAGCTCAACAGGGGTCACCTTTGATTCGTCCCAATCTTCATCAAGCCGCTTTGTTCATCGGCAGCTTCCTTGGTGTTGATTTGCTCATGCGGTTCACCCTTGTCCTCGGCTTGTGAACCCACGGCCATGCATCCCCGAGGTGTTCCCTGACTTGTATTGGAACCCCTGATGTCCAAGATCTCAAGGCCGCTTGGTTCTAGCTCCAAAAACCTTGTTTTTGCATCAAGTTCCTTCGGCTGATCCAAGAACCGCTTGTAGGCTTCACTCTCTTCATTCAAGTACCCATGTTCACCTTAATCTTTTGTCAAAACCACTTGGAGAGGATCCTCTGTGTTCAGTTCTTCAAGGAGCTCATCAACAAGCTCCTCCATTGTCTTGATGTAGAAGACTTGTCTGCCGATCATACCTCCTCTAACATCTATGATCGCTCCTGCTGTGGCCAAGAAAGGCCTTCCCAAATTGATAGGATCAACCGGCTCTTCATCCATCTCCAAGACTATAAAGTCTGTTGGGATCTCAATCTCACCAATTTTTAGAGGCAAATCTTCAAATAACCCGATTGGCAACCTTACTGTCATATCAGTGAGTACTAGAGAGATCCTTGCTGGCTTATAGCTGTTGTACCCCAACCTTTTTGCAATAGTATAAGGCATTAAGCTTACTGAAGCTCCCAAATCACACAAACAGCTAGCAAAATTCAAAGGACCTATAGCACAAGGTAGAGTAAAGCTCCCTGGATCAGATAGCTTCCTTGGAACTGTTCTCCTCTGAATAATGGCACTGCACTCATGACTCAGAATGACCATTCCTTGTAGCTCCTTGGTCTTGTTCAAGATCGCATCTTTTAGAAATTTTCCAAGTTGAGGAATCATGAGAAAAGCTTCTATGATCGGCATTGTCATCTAAGTGTTCTACAAGTGCTTTTCAAACACTGCTCTTGTCTTGTCTAGGATTTGTTTCTTGAATCTCCCTGGAAAAGAAAGCTTAGGCTGATAAGAATGTGGTGGAACATAAGGTTTCTCAGGTTCTGATTCCTTCTCTACTTTTTTAGCTGTTTCTTTCTTTGAAACTCATCCTCTTGCTCATCCCTTGGGGCTGCCTCCCCACCGATTTGCTCATTATCCTCAATGAGCACTCTGTTCTGTGCTGGACCGGCTAACTCTTTGCCACTTCTCAAGGTGATGGCGCTGATATATTCTTTGGGATTTGGTTTGGGTTTTCCAGGTAAAACACCTTGTCCTCTTGAAGTTGAAGCTTTATTCTGTTTAAGCTCCCTAATTTCTTGTTGAATGGACGCATACTTGGAACCTAGATCAGAAAACCCACTCTCAAACCTTTGTTGTCCTTGTAACAACTGCTGAAGCACACCACACAAGTCTGGTCCCATTGGCTGCTGTTGTTGAACCGCTTGATGCTGAAACTGCTGTGGACTGAACCCTGATGGAACTTTGGTTTCTGAGGCTGAGAACTGAAGTTACTGCTCTGAACTGGTTGCTGCTGCTGTCCATATCTCTATTGCTGCCGAGCAAACTGTTGCTTAGGCACAAAGTTCCCTTGAAAATTTCCTTTGGGAACATAACTCTGCTGACCTTGAGTATTCAGATACACCTGATCTTGAAGATTGGCTACATTGGGGTTCCTATATGAGAAGTTCTGATTTGAGTTAAAGTTGTTGAACCTCTGATATCGGTTTTGGTTCCCAATGTAATTGATTTCTTCTTCTGTGAGGCCATCCTCATTTACATTCTCAAAGCTCGGTCCTTGCTCATCAAACTCGCCTAAAAAGGGTATAGGCTTTTGTGTTGCCACTAGCACCTTGTCTAACTTGTTTTGAAGCTCCCTTATATCCTTTTCCATCCTCAACTCCTTGCTAGATCCCTCTGTTCTATTCGCCCTGTCGAAATCTTCACCATAAGTGTCATTGGACATAGCAAGATTCTCAACTAACTCCAAAGCGGCATTGATTTCTTTCCCAAGAAATTTTCCATTTGATGATGTATCCAGTTGGTTCCTGATCTTGGGGAGGGCTCCTCTGTACAATGTACTTATTAGAGAGGCCTCTCAGAAACCGTGATGATGACACTGATTGGTATAGCTTTGAAACCGTTCCTAAGCTTCTCCAAAGCTCTCATTTGTGTGCTGTGTAAAGCTGGAGATTTGGTTTCTTAGCTTAGTGGTTCTAGAAAATGAGAAGAACTTGGACAGAAAAGCTAGCTTGCACTGCTCCCAAGTTTGTATTGTTCCTCTTGGAAGATTCTTCTCCCATTGATGCGCCTTGTCCCCTAAGCTGAAGGGAAACAATCTGAGTTTAAAGCTGTCCTCCGAGACACCATTGATCTTGGTGAGATCACACACACGGTCAAACTGGTCTAAGTGCTCCAAAGGGTCCTCCATTGGTAAGCCGTGGAACTTAGAGTTATGCACCATATTGAGCAAGGAAGCTTTAACTTCGAAGTTGTTGTTTTGAACCAGTTGTGCTTGAATCCCAGCTCGGTACTGGTGTGCATTAGCTCTATTGTTCTCAACAACAAAAACTTGTGGAGGTTGCCTCTGAGCTTGTGGCTGGGGCTGAGGAACGTTCTGAGCCTCTTGCTCATTGCGGTTAGCTGTTGCTGGTTTTGCTGAGCTTGTCTTTCATTCCGCTGAACCATGTTCTGATTTACAAAGGCTTGTTGCTCATTCCTCTCAGCTTGTGCCTGGTTTAAGTGAGCCTGATGCTCGGCTTCTTGAGCCTATTGCTCAATCGTTGCTTGTTCATCCATGCCCAAACGTTCCTGATTCACAGCCCTCTCTCTAGCTATTCTTTCAAGCAGTTTTATGTTGTTGTTGTAAGGCTGAGGAGGCTCTGAACTTCTGGAGCGTGTTCGCATGTACCTGATCACTCAAAGACAAATCTCAAAGATAAAACAAAAAAATAAAGACTTGATCTCAAGAACAAGCAAAAACTAATGCTAATTTCCCACAAGTTGGCAACGACGCCAACTGATAAGTTAAGGTGTTAAAACCTTAAAGAGGGTTATCAATCCCCTTTCAATGTAGAATAAAGGGTATCAATCCATGCTTGTGGTATTAGACATTAGTTTATGAGTTATGATTCTTAAGTCAAGTCAAACAGGTAATGTTTTTGGTTTCTAAGCTAATGACAAGATAAGAAAATAATATAAGAACAAGATTTAAACAAAGACAAGATGCAAACAAGACAAGTAAAACAATACAAATAAGCGGTTATGAGATGACATGATGATGCAAAGGTCTTAGACAAGATAATGAATTAAGGTGCTTTCCACACTAAACTAACAAGTTAATGAACAAATAATCAAGCAGATCCATGATAACTAAGAATTTTTTAGGTTCTTAAAGGGTTATCAATCCCTTTGCTGTTTCAGCATAAAGGGTATCAATCCAAATGTGTGGTAGTTAGGCACTAGTTTATGTGACAATTTCTCAAGTCAAGTGAGACGAGAAAGATTTTTGGTGACAAGAAACAAGAAAGCAGAAAACAAGAAACAAGCAAAGGAAGATGATTAACTACTAAACAAGCAAGTAAACAAACAAGATGATGATAAAGAAAATGATGAAAGATAAACCTCTACATGTGATCATTGATTAGGGGGCTTTAAATATTGATTCATGATGCTAAGAACATAATGCAACACTTGCTACTCTTTAGTCTAGGCTTCTTAATCAGATTAATCCACTCTTATGACAGAAATTCCTTTGCAATCACTTAATCAAGTGTAACAACCATTAGATATAACCAAGCAATCAACAAGCATAATGTACCAAGCCCAATAAGTGACCAAACAATCTCTATAAAGAAAGACTGAATCTTATACAGAAAGACATAGCAAGCAATCACATGATCTCAAAATATTTCAACTTAGAACTCTAATCTAGACTAATCCTCTCATGAAGGCATTAACCTCTACACTAATCCATTTTCAAACCAAATCATCATTTGTGAAATATGAATCAAGCATTAAGAAACAGTTCTAATATGTCATTCATGCATTTAACTCTCACTCTCATGATGAAAAAGGCATAAACCCTTAAGTTAGCTCTTTCAGGCATTTCATCAAACACTTTTGGTGCATGAAATGCCTATGATCTAGACCCAAGTAATTCTCAAGGATCTAGCTTTAAGAGCAGCTAACTAAGGAAAGGAAATGAGAATCTATAACCTAAACATCATAAATCAAGCATCAAAGCACCCTAATCTACACTTAAAAGCTTAAAAGATGACTACTCACTAATCATGAACAATACACAATTTCCTTTGCAAGAGGTGATGTTAATCATGACTAGAAGCAAAGATGAGATGATTTAATGATAAGAAACAACCTTAAGATGATTAAATCAGCAAGATATCTCTTAATCAAAAACGTTTTTCCACTAAAAGGAAAGAAAATTAGAGAGAAACTAATATAGAAGATAAAGTCTTTTAGGGTTTTCTCCAAAAAGATATATATACTAAGTGCTAATGGACCGGGTCAGCCTAGGACAAATTGGGTCCTGACCCGGCCTTGATGGATAGTGGTGTGGTTTGCCATGGTCAGATGGTCCTTGTCAGACCGTGGCATTCTGACCGTGTCAAGGTTCAAGAGCAGATTCTTTAAGAACAAGGTTGCCATGGCTTGATTTGGACCATGCTGCATGGACATGTCTCTTCCTTTCTGGGTCTGGATCATGAGCTGCTTGGTTTGCCACGACCTTGTCTGGACCGTGTCATGTTGAGCGTGGTAAAGTGTTGAGCATTCAGTGATTGCCACGGCCTGATGATTGGCTGTGGCATCTTGGTCGTGTCAAAGGGCTTTAGTGTTTGCCGCGATCAAGCATGGATCGTGTCTCAAGACCATGTCAATTTCCGAAGGTTGGCACTCAGAAGTATACCTTGCCACAGTCTGGTGTAGATCATGGCATTCTCTCCGTGTCAATCACTGAAGGTTGGTAAAGCATTTCCACGGTCAAGTATGGACCGTGGTATTAGGACCGTGTCAGAGTATGCCACTTAGCATAATTTCAGTTCTTAGACGCCTGATTGACATGTCTGTCTCCTGCCTTCCGGAACTCACAGCTCACAACTCCAAATGACACTAAACCAAGTCCACGAGAAAGATGACTCATTAAGCTCAAACTTTTCTGAAGAAACCTTTGGTGCTCGGGGAGTGGAAGGTTCCCCGGACGGCTCATCTCTGCAGTGCATTGAAACCATCAAAAAGAAGCTCTTGGACCAGTTTTCACTCCGGAGACGTAGCTTTCTGCACATAGCTCCAAACTGGGCGATCTCAGCTGTTCTGGAAATAGCACTCAAAAAACTTGAATTGTGATGAAGGGCCCGGAAACTAATCAGAATGGAAAGGCATTGTCTCACGCAATCATTGTGACACGTCGGATCGGTCTTGAAACTGTAGCGAGACAGGTGTGCCTTCCGGTGAGCTTAACTCTCTGCTCACGACTCCAAATCTAATGATTACACCTGTTCTGGATCCGTGACCTGATCATCTCAAACTTTTCTGAAGACCTTGTAAGCTGAATCGGACGTTAAAACTCCCCGGACAGGTGATCTTTTAGACGTATCGGATTACTCCGGAATGGAAGCGAGACAGGTCTGTCTTCCGGTGGCCGTATATTTGGGTTCGCTGCTCTAAATTCATCGATTTCAACTGTTATGAAATCTAAACTCAATTATCTTGATCTTTTCTGAAGACTCCGGAGTCTGAATCGGCCGGCAAGACCTTCCGGTAACGTGATTTCAGAGACAAATCCGCACCCGAGATTTTTGGCCGAGAAACTTAACCGCCAGTACGTGTTTTTGGCCGAGAGATCTACTCGCAGGATGGATTTTAGCCGAGAATTTTTGACCATCAGTACAGAATTTCGCCGAGAGACTCAAAATTGCTCCTCTACACCATTTTTGATCATTTCAACTCCATTTCTTCATCTGAATCACATTCTCCACTACAAATAGGCTCCAAAAGCATCTGTTTAACACTCCAAACCATGCAAAACTCTCTTGGACTAATGCAATCTACTAAGTCCTAAAACAATGCCTAAATACCTAAATTTATGCAAATGAGATATGATTTGGACTTAAATATATACACTAAATGATGCAATTTATAAATATATCAATCCATTTAACATGAACTCATCAAGCAAGATAATCCTCTCATGAAGGCATTAAACTTCTATGCTAATCCTCTTTCCTGCAAAAATATCTTTTGAGAAGCATGAATCAGCAGGCATTAAGAATCAGTTCATTAAGTCATTTAAGAGAACAAACTACCATTATCATGATGAAAGACTCTTAAACCTATAACAAACTTGGTTCAGGTATTTCAACAAACACTTTTGGTGCATGAAAGTACCTCAGATATAGACCACAAGTAATGTTCAAGGATCTAGCATAGGGAGTAGTTTGTTAGAGGATGGATGATGCAGATCTAGCTCCTAAACTCACTAATCTAGCATTTCAGCACCCTAATCTACCTATCTAAGACCTTATAATGAAACTACTCACTAATCATGAAGAGCACACTTAATCTTTTGCAAGAAGCGTTGCTAGACATGATTAGAAGCTTTGAACTGATGAAAAGAAATGAAGAGAACAAGATTTTAATGATGCAAAACGAGATATCTGATTAAAGCAGCAAGTTTTACACAAAAGAGGCAAGTTCTCTAAGAGAATAAAAGATAAGATAAAGGATATGTAGGGTTTTAGTCCCTAAAACTATTTATAGTAGAGCTAAGTGATGCGGGTCAGCCCGGAACAAACCGGGTACTGAACCGCTATTCTTGGGCAACTGGGCGAATTCCTCGGTGTGTGAGAGTCCAATGCCGAGGTTCTGATGTCAATGGCTTCATGCACACTTAAGATGAAATGAAGAACTCACCAAGAACATGCATGAACCGTAGTCTTTGATCCATCTTCACGTGCACTCGTTAGAACATCTTTTTTCTTGATCTGGGTTCGTGACAAGGGGCCTCGGTGTAGACACACCGTGGAGTCAGGTTGAGGTCTGGTGCCTTTCATTCGGGAACCTTGGTCCTTGGTGTAGATAAGTCGAGGACTTTGCTCGAGGCTTTGATCAGTTTGTTTCAGCATGAAGTCACCTCGGTGTGTGCAAGTCGTGGGGTTTTGGTCGAGAGGACAAGGAAAAGAGGGTCCGACGTGTGATGCGGAGGGGTTGAAGCCGAGGTCTAGTCCCACACTTAGACAAAATTCAGAACAAAGCGCATAGATGCTCAGCTTCAACACTTAGTCATTTTCAGACTTGTTTCTTCAGTATGCATGCCTCTGTGTTGAATGACCGAGGGATTAGCTCAAGGTTTAGACCAAAAAGCTTCCGAAACAGGTCTCGGTATAAGACCATGTCTAGGGCACAACACCGAGGCTTGCTAAAACACTTAGCACCAATCGCATCTTC